CTTTCAGCCTTAACTGTTTATTTTTAGAAGGTGGGACATAACATATACATACATACATACATACATACATATGTATATGTATATGTATATGTATATGTATATATATCTCATATATACATATATGTATGTATATGTATGTATATGTATGTGTGTGTGTGTGCGTCAAGCATTTCTCTTTCCGTGTTTCCCAAATTATGTCTTGGTTTTGTAAATGTAGGTGCCGACTTAAAAGAGCGAGCTCGAATGAGTGATACTGAAGCTGATCATTTTGTTCAGAGGCTCAGAAGTTTAATGGACAACATTGGTAAGCTCCTGGTAGAGCCCTTTGTTCACAAGTGAATCAGCCTTGTTAATATGAAGCACAGTCAGAAGCCTTGTTGTTATCTGTAAAGCAAAAATAAATGTTTTGAGAACTCCCTTGTTTTTTCCATTATCTGTCAGGTATTAGCAATGTGCTATCTGCTTGTTTTGAATCTAACTTGTACATAACTTGTTATTCGTCACTCCAAATATCGTGGACATTATCTTGCTAGCCTGTGAGATCACTGCGATTGTGTGATAGTTTGAACATTCTTTAGCACTGCCTTTTTGGTATTGGAACATAAAGTGATCTTTTCCTTCTCTCGGCCTTTGCTGTGTTTACAATCAATAAGTAGCACTTGAAACATCATCCTGTAAGTTTTTCAATGATTCAGCAACGTTTTCTAGGGCCCATTTAACTTTACAAGTAGTCCTTGACTTACAACAGGCGTGTCTAACCCACAGCCTGCAGGCCGCACATAGCCCCAGACAGCTAGTAATGCATCCCACAAGATTGTATACACTTTTGACAATTTTAATGTGATCTATACACATTAACCATATTATATATTTTATAATATTATATATTTTATATGTGGCCCAAGCAGTGGTGGGATTCAAATATTTTTGCCACCAGTTTGGTGGGTTTGGTTTGGTGGGCGCGCTTTGTGCGCATGCACACTTTGCGTGCATGCGCACGCCAAACACGCACTTTGCGCAGGTGCAGAGGTGTTTGTGCAGGCGCAGAGGCATTATAACTCACCTGCAGGCCTGCACGATCCCGGTCGCTTCAGCAGCTGCCACGCGGCACTATTCTGTGCTGCGCAAAGCAACTGCGCTTCAAATTCAGCGGATAAAGGGGAGTATGGGAGCCCAGGTGGGTGGGTGGGCCCAACAGCAGAGCAGCCGAGACAACCGGTTCGATCCCTGCTGCTCATCGCTGCTACCGGCTCGCCAGAACCAGGCCGAACCGATAGAATACCAGCACTGGTCCCAAGACAATTCTTCTCTCAATGTGGCCCAGGCAATCCAAGAGGTGGAACACCTGTGACCTACAACCATTTGTTTAGTGACTGTTTAAAGCTATGACATTGCTGAAGGCATGGTGGTTATGAGTGCTCCTCAGAGCTCCAGCCATTCCTACATCCCCGCAGTCAGGCGATCCCAATCTGAGTGCTTGGCAAACCTCTTGCTATTGCATCCTGCATTGCCATGCCCCACAATCATGTGATTGCCAATTGTAACCTTCCTTGCCAGCTTTCCCAGATGATCAATAGGGAAACCAGAAGGAAAGGCACTGAGTAACTCTCTTCCAGCCCCTCTGCCCTTGTGCCATGCTGGCCACTTGCACATCTCTGCCACGCCTCTCCCAGCACTTGTGGACCTCCGTGCACTCTGGCACATCCCCCCCCCAATGTCATATGTTGAGAATTACTTGTACTTGTCAGAATGCTAGGTGTAAGGACAATCCTTTCGCATTTCATCAATCATGGAATCTTTTTTCTAAACTGTAGTTCTAACCATTCATCGAGTGACCGTTCGAATCACAGTGGAACTGAAAAACAGGACTTACGACTGTTTTTCACACTTATGACTGTTGCCACGTGCTCAAAATTCAGATGCTTGGCAACTTGACTCACATTTATGACAGTTGCAGTGACTCAGGCTCGTGTCTGATCCCTTTTTGCGACCTTCTGACAAGCAAAGTCAATGGGGAAGCCAGATTCACTTAACAACCGTGTCACTAACTTAATAACTGCACTGATTCACTTAACAACTGTGGCTACAAAGATCATAAAATGGGCCAAAGCTCACGTAACATCTGTCTCACTTAACAACATACATTCTGGGCTCAATTGTGGTCGTAAATCAAGGACTGCTTGTATATTCCTGCCATTTGTTCTTTATATTTTCTTTCTCCAGTAGATTCTCCAGTAGATTCTTGTTGCTTTTTCTTTTATTGTGCCATTTTGGCAAAAACGCACTTCATGATCCTGTTTCTGTCATATTTGCAGCTGCATTACCAATGCCGACTATTGCTGCAATCGATGGTTATGCCTTGGGTGGCGGCTTGGAAATGGCCCTAGCTTGTGATCTTCGAGTAGCAGGTGAGAATATCACTACAGGTAGTCCTCGACTTACAACACTACATTTACTGACTGTTCAAAGTTACAATGGCACTGGAAAAAGTGACTTGTGACCATTTTTCACAGTTACGACCTTTGCAGCTTCCCCATCGTGCTCATGTGATCAAAATTCAGGCGCATGGCAACTGGTTCATACTTATGACCATTGCAGTATCGTGGGGTCACGGGATCACCTTTGCAACTTTCTGACAAAGCAAAGTCAGTGGGGAAGCCAGATTCACTTAATAACCAGGTTACTGACTTACCAGTTGCAGTGATTCACTTAACAATTGTGGCAAGGAAAGTCTTAAAATGGGGCAAAACTCACTTAACTAATGTCTCACGAACAACAGAAATTTTGGGTTCAACTGTGATCATAAGTCGAGGACTATGTGTATAACCAATACTTTTGGTTCCTATTCTGAAAACAGTTAATTTAATTCAACCTATAACATCTAAAAATCATAAGCTAACTGTTGACATTATTATATTCCTATATTACAAACTTGGTCCAGCCAAACTGTAGTATTTTTAAGACTTGTTAAATGTGTGCTACCTTTATATCATTATTATACTACTATTTTGATCTTGTATGTGTCTTTTTTTTTTTTTCAAATCAGCATCGTCGGCTAAAATGGGTTTAATTGAAACTACCAGAGGACTTCTCCCTGGGGCAGGTAAGGTTGTTGCATCATCCATTTTCTTGCCCCTTGTCATACAATTGTACTGTAATGTGTTAAAAATACCAAAAGCTATTAATATAAGTTCTCAGATTTTATATTGTTATACATTCCTATTGTATAACTCCTGTTTTCCCAACATGGGAATAGTTTACTTTCCTAAAAGAAATATGACATAAATGAATATGATACATATTTTCTTGAGGATTTCACAAAGAGTTTGCACACATGCCTGGAACTGTCAATTAAGATCATCTTCAGGTTTCTCGATTTTCCCAGGAATCAAGCTGCCATTACATGTTGTTTTCTGCTCTTATCAATCAGAAAAGTAAATCTGCTACTCTCCTCTCTCCAGCATAGAGTTTCCCATCTCTTTTTCCTTGCTCTGGAAATTAATGTATCCATGTAAAATAAGAATGGGTAGAAAATCGACCCACTGATGATTTATGCAACCCCTCCATTTGCCAGGTGAAAGAGAATTGATTAGCTCATGAAAACTGTCCTACTTTTGCCACCCAATTGAAGGGACCCTAACTGTGAAAAAAAATAAGGTAGTGCTAGATTAGCTTCCTTTTAGCTATGGAAGAAAAAAATGAAATTCCAAAAGCTTCCTTTCCTGGTTGAGGGAATTAATTGTTTTGAGGTGGCAATGTCAAAAAACATAGTTATGGTAAACTTTAAATCCAAGGAAATTAATGCAAGAACAGAACCTTTTCATGAAAATTATTACAGTGAAATCTCAACCGATCATACCTTAGTGCAATGGGCTTAGTCTGCAACACATCACATTTACATTACTTGTACAATAAGCAACTACCAGAAATCAGTTTTATAACATACTTTGGTATTAAGAGACATTAAGAATATCAGAAAATTGCTTATACCAATTATTCTATTAAGATGAGGTTCACTATACCAATATAATGTATACAAGTATAAAGAAATTTATATATGATTTTGGGAAAAGTATGAAAGAACTAATCAGGAGGAATTTTAGAAGTTATAATTCTAACCCTACCTTGATTCTGTTTAGTGTCACCTGAGGTACAGAGAAACTTGGGCAGGTTTTCATTCTACCATCTTACATTTTTACTATGAAAAACATTCCTTAAAATTCCTACGGCTCCTGTTTCTTGACCTAGCCTGTCTTATAGGGCTGGTTTGTAAGAACCTGGTTTGATGTTAGAAGGCTAGTAACAACTAGATTTCAACCCAAGTAAATCAGCAGAATTTAGGAGAAACGTCATAATCACTACTTTTAACTTTAGCAATAGGGATGGTTCTTTGTGGAATTAAATAACAGAATAGAATAACAGAGTTGGAAGGGACCTTACCGGTCTTCTAGTCCAATTCCTGCTGAAGCAGGAGACCCTATAGTATACCATTCTAGACAAATGGCTGTCCTGTCTTTTTTTTTAAAGTCTCCAATAATGGAACACCCACAACTTCTGTAGGCAAGCCTTTCTACTGGTTAATTGTCCTCTCTCTTAGAAAAATTCTCCTTAGTTCTATGTTACTTCTCTCCTTGAAATTGAAATGGAAACCAAGGCATATAAGAGCTTTCTGTAAAATCTGATTGAGGAATTTTGCATTTTTCCCTGTCTAGGTGGAACCCAGCGCTTATCACGCTACATTGGCCTTGGCCTAGCCAAGGAGCTCATTTTCACTGGCAGACAGATTGATGGGCAAGAAGCTTTCTCCATGGGGCTACTTAATCACACAGTACCACAGAATGAGGAAGGGGATGCAGCATACCGAAAGGCATTGGCTTTAGCTGAAGAAATAGTTCCTCAGGTTAGCGTGTTCTTCACCTTCCTCTCTATATTGCTGAAGAAACAATGTTTCTGCTTTTTAAAAATAGAGTACTTTTTATTGTGCTGTAAATTTCTAAAGGCAAATTAAATCTTGAATTCAACCTGTCTTAAATATTTATATATTTCTTGGTGACAAAGAATTCTTTTTAGTTTAGAAGACATCCATTGATAAATTAACTGGATTCTCATAAATCCTGAATAAACAGTAATTTGGCTTTACTGCACCAAAAATATATACTTTGCTATTCCTGCTTCATTGATTACACCTAGGGGAACCAAACTGATATAGAAGATTTAACTATCTTTTCATTTGTCTCTGTGAGAATTTATAACATCTAAGGCCATTACCTTATGGTGTAAAGAGACTTGCATAAGCTAAGTAAAGAATAAGTATTTCTTTTATGTCAGTTCCACTTAGATAACTGAAATAACTCTCAAATGACTTGAAATTTAAAGTTGCTCTGTGCTAAAGAGGCCTTTCCCTAATTTGTGCAATATCTTTCTTGACATAGTTGCTCTTTGGGTTCTTATTTTTAGAACACTGGCGTTTTTTGAAAACACAGTATGTAAAGCTAATTATAATTTGATTTCATTTCTTTTAAAGTAGTTTCCAATTTAGCTTACAACAGTTTCAACTTTGTTTGGCATCAGGAGTTTTGACGGAGTTTTGTTTTTGTTTTTATGAAAACAAAACTAAAACTAAAAAAAGACTTCCTCAAAATTCCTCATGCCTCCCTGAATAGTGTATGTTCTGTAAATTCAACGTATCTTCCTTTTTTATTAGAAATGTATGCAATACACCAGAGGCAGTCTTGTATTTACTCCACTTATTGTGAAAATGATGTATTGCAATCTTTAGCACTTGTTGATTATGAGTTCCTTTATGAGGTACTTTGTCCAGACTAGTTATATGGGGGATTGAATTAATGGTGTGTGTGTGCATGTGTGTGTGTGCATTGTGTACATGCAAACAAACACATTTCCAATACAAAAATGCTTTTCTTTTCTTTTCAAAGGCTCCAATAGCTGTGAGACTGAGTAAATTGGCTATAAACAAAGGGATTGAGGTAATGATTTATTACAAGCTTCTTCAATTTATATTTAAAGTTCTACAGAAAAGTAGAGAAATAATGTTCCAAAAAGACCCACAACATTTTTTAGAGCTTCCAGATCTAACCTGCAGAAATTCAGTCCGCTAATATCATGGCAAGAGTTAAAAGTTGTCTATATCTTTTTCCTGCCATTTGGTGGCTGTCTACATTTACAGTCCAGATACAGTAATTTGACATGAATGACAGATCTATTTCATTGTCTGAATCAAAAGAAGACATAAGAAATGTACAGATGACCATTGCTTCTTCATTCTAGTGCTGCATTTTCAGTAATAGTACACTCAGCCAAGAAACAAAAAGGATAGAAAAGTAGAAGAAATAATACCCTAACAAATCACCATTTCCACACAGAGGCTTCAACTACTGTTACTATAGAACTTTCTCCTGAGTTGTCAGGCAGGGCAGAACAATTTACAGAATAACAGAGTTGGAAGAAACCATTAGTCCAACCCCCAAAAAGACTTTAAACCATTTCAGACAAATGGCTATTGAGTTTTTTCTCCAGTAATGGAACACCAACTTCTGAAGGCAAGCCGTTCCACTGATTGATTGTTCTAATTGTCAGGAAATTTCTTATTTCTAGGTTGGATCTCTCCTTTATTAGTTTCCATCCATTGCTTGTCTTGCTTTTAGGTGCTTTGGAAAATAGATTGCCCCCCTCTTCTTTGTGGCAGCCCTCAAACGGGTAACAGTTATGTCACCCCAATTCTTCATTAGACAGACTAGACATACCAACTGTTCCTCACGTTTTAGCATCCAGTCCCCTACTCCATATTCTTGCTCTTCTCTGCACTCTTTTTAGAGTCTCAATATTTTTATTTCAAAACTGGATGCAGTATTCCAAGTGTGGTCTTACCAAGGCATTATAAAGTGGTACTAAAACTTCACACGAGCTTAATTCCATCCCTGTTAACGCAGCCTAGGACTGTGTTGGTTTTTTTGGCAGCTGCCAGCACACTGCTGGCTCATGTTTAAGTGGTTGTCTGCTTAAATGTTATCTTAAATGTAACTTTAAAATGTAACTTAGTTAAGTGTTATTGTAGGAGACAATGTGTATGTGCACATATAGCAATTGCACAGGTAACACTCATTTTCATACTGAAATTCCCACAAGGTTCTCTACATCTGGCATAATCCAAATGTATCTGCTCTGAGTATCTAATGTAGCTGCACCTATAATAAATCTGTTAATATTTATGTGCCAAAAGCTTTGCTTGGTAGAGAGAACCTTGTCTTATGTCACTGATGAAACTTGGGGGAAGTCCAGGATGATTTATTACAATTCATTAAACTATACTTCAATATATTATTTCTGAATTGGTAACTTGGTACTGCTTTCCTTTAGATGGGCAAAAGGTTTTTTTCCCTTCCTTTTCAGGTTGATATTGCTTCAGGAATGGCTATTGAAAGAATGTGCTATGCCCAGGTATTTTCTTTTTTTAAAAAAAAATCTGTTTCTTGTGCCCCCCCCCAACTTTATCAAATCTTGTGGTATGACAATTTAAAAAGATTAGTAAAAAGAAAAAATGTTTCTTCTTCTTAGCTTCAGTGTGTGTTCTTGCTTCTCAGACATTTAGATTGTTATACTTTTCTCCATTCTTCAGTTCTGAATACAAATATGCACCCACACCCATCAGATCAATTAAAAACCCCAGTAAATCAAATTACAATTTTTGTGTATTCACATACACATGTACATCCTAAATTGCCTTTTCTTTATTTAATGATATTTGGAGGCAGGCCAGCTCCAAAATGAATTCCGGACAGTGTAGATCAAATAAAAACAATTACAAAACCCAATGACTATTATTTATTTATGAGACACAGAGACCATCTATTAGGAGTTTTGACTGGAGAAACAAACAACAGTAGCTGGGAACTAGGACTATGCTATATAGGTTTTGGGCTAGAACCCCAATCGTCCTACTCCTACAAACTTGGGAAGTTTGAGGGGATGGAAGTTTTGGTGTATCAATGAAAGGCTTGAAAACTTTTGAAAAGATTAAGAGATGAAATATTAAATGATTGACTTGTATTTTAAACACAGAATCTCCCTACTAGAGACCGTCAGGAAGGAATGGCTGCTTTCAGTGAGAAACGACTTCCAAAATTCACTGGTAAATGAGGCTAAAACACCATTTCTGAAAGTGCCTGAATACAAGGAGGTGATCAAAAGGCTGTGCCTTATTGAAAAGCTTTTCCTTACAAGCTTTATACTTTTTTTTGCCGGATAATGTAAAGGGTATTACTATTCAAATATGACAGTGATAAAAAAATCATTTTCCAACCAAAGCATGCACAATGCACTTATGAGTAAATTTCTGTACCTGAATAACACTGTCAATTGCTGCTCTGTCACTTTTTTCTGTCACATTGTTCACTTAGGAACAGATTTCCTAAATGAAGAGAAACTATATATCATCCCAAAGAGCAACCAGCTGTACTTGTTAGATTTTATAAGTAATGCACACACACACAAAAAAGATTCTACTCCAAAGAAAATTTACAATAATGTATAAAGTCTCCTTTGAATCAGGTTCAGCTTCTGGTAGTTTATATGGATCAATCTAATGCAGTTTTCTTGGTATAGATGGAAATGGTTTGCTATTGTTACTTTGGGGATTTTTTTTAATGGCTACCAAATGCAGAATTTCTTATAATTTCCTAAACATTTTAAGAACATCAATTATTTTATGATAAAATAATATAAAACCGTATGTATTTTCTTTGCATTTCTGAATTATATTTCTGAATAAAGCTCAAGATTAAAATACTTAACTGAAAATGTGTAAGTATGCCATTGCTTTATTTCCTTACAACAGGAACATTGCTCAATCTATTAATAGTGGGTAGTTCTATTTTCTCCAGACTTGCTTGCTGACATTTTGTTATTGACTGTTCTTTTGAAATCAGAGAGCAGGTAGCTACCTTTTAAGGTAGCATGTAAATACTTTATTTGGAGTTAAATTGTGTTCTAGTGAAATTTGTAGATCATACAAAGTATTCATGGCGGCAAAAAAAATCCAATATGATCTTGAAGAATTCCCAAAAGATCTGGTTAAACAATTGTCAACCAAATTGCAAATGTTCAGTTTAAATAAACGTAAAGTTATGCATGGTGGACAAAAAACATGTAGCTTCAATATATACAGAAACGGGGGAAAAGGTCTTGAGGTTATATGATGGATATCTGAAGTTGTGAAAAATGTGAATTCTGTGCTAGAAAATATTAGGAAAGGGATAGAAAACTGCCAACACTTGTAATGGTCTGTACAAGGGAACTAGAAAACTGTACTGTCATGGAGGCTGTATTTGAAAAATATATATAAAATGGAGAACAGGACAGCTAAAAGATCATGGTTTTTGAACAACTTTCTTATAAGAAAAGGCTGAAATGTTTGGGATGCATTAGCATAGAACAAAGAGAACCGGGAGCAGGAGAATGATTGAAATACATAGAATCATGAATGGCAAGGAGAAAGGGCATTTCTCTCTGGGCCAGGGTTCATTCAAAGAAATTGATCAAAAGGAGGTTTATCACAGATAAAATAATGTGCTTTATGCAGCACCATTTGCCTGTAAAATAAGTCACAAAAGTCGCCTTGTGGTCGGATGGGCAGCAAACAAATCTAATAAATAAACTGTGCTGATATTAACTTGGAAGTATTTAAAAGGGGGTTGGATAAATTTATAGAAAACTGGTCTACTGATGGCTATTAATTTTGAGATTCAGTGGGAGTGAGCTGAGAATCTCTCCAAATACCAGTTGCAGAGAATAGCAGCAGGAGTGGGGTATGTCTCGACCTCCTATTTGTGAATCCCACGAAGGTAACTCCCTGGTCTTTGTAAGGAGCAAAATGGGGAATAAAATAGGCCTTAGTAAGATCTGTTATGGTTATTTTTATTTATAGAGCTTATTAACAAAACATGTTTGTTGCTGTCAAACTAGAAAAGGGTGTTCAGGAAGAAATATATTAGTTACAAAATATGGACATTAATAAAATCAAAAATAAAATAGAGCGGGGTTAGGTCAAGTAGTATACCATATTAGACACCCCAAATTTAATGTCCAGATAGGCAGGTGTGTAGGATGTAAAGTTTGAGCTGTCACTGAAATCTAATTTACTTTGATCTGTGTTTCTCAACCTTGGCAATTTTAGAATGCATGTTAAAAGTCACAAGAATGCATGTCAAAGTCTGTTAAAGGGCCAGTCAAGAGCAGGAAGATTTCCCTTCTTAGTCAATGTCAAAAGAAGAGCTTTTGGGCTCTTTTTGCCTTTTTTTCTGTCACAGGAGAAAATCCTCCTGCATCTCAGAAGTCTGGAATTGGTGATCCAGGAAATAGATAAGTGCAAGTAGCAAAAGCTACAAGCAAATTAGAATGTTGACTTATTTTTGTGTGTGTGTGTGAGAGAAAATTATCTGAGTTATAATGCTTTTATTATCTGTTGTTCTATTTTGTTCTACCTACATATTTCCCCCTTCTTTGTCCCTGACTGGAGGAATCACCGAGTAAAACGCAGCAGATTTCAATTATTTCATTGAATTATTTCAATTATTCAATTATTTCATTCCCTTTCTTGTTTTGGTTACCTCCTGTATAGTTCTTTTCCTTTATATTGCTAATGATCCTAGCATTGGTTATCCACTCAGTCCCTCATTCTCATATACCCAGCACACACATTCCCAACTCTTACCATTCATTTAGCCACAGAAGAGAAGGGGGGGGGGATTTGCTATTTTTCTTCTCCTAAGTAAACCAGCACAGAAAAGGACATTTTTTGAAAGCGAGTGGATGTAGTTTTCCTACGAGTTGTGAAAATATCCAGGAATATTGTGCTTAGAGGATCTAGAGATCTTTCTGAGACCAGGGGACAAAATCCATAAATTATTGTGTTTACATTTGCAAATAGGCCCCATTCTGTAATAATTGTTTGTTCTATACTGATCTTTAATTGAAATAAGCTTTGACTGACTAATAATTGGCAGTATAAAAAATCAAAATATTCAACTACACTGACCTTTCCCTTTCCATTAATGAGTTATGATCAAAATGTACCCTATTTTACCACACACTATTCTAAAGTGCATGAGATAGCTTATGATTTTTCCTCATAAGTTTTAGCTTCCCCCAATTTTCCTCAGATATACTGCTTTAACTGTACTAGCAACTTCCCATAAGATAAATTCAGCATCTACTGATTTTTCTTCTCACACCAATTAATCCAAGCCACCCACTTTGGGAGAATATAAATGTTACACTCAATACCAATAAGAACAGCAAAAATAAAATTCACTTCTGCATAGTTAGCTACCATCTAGTGAATTTGACCTTATGAGAGCTTTATTTTGCATTATGACCAATTTTCTTGAAGACAGAAACATGCAGTCAGTTTGAAATACTATCAATGAACATGTCTTTTTTTTTTTAGATAAAGCCTAAAAAGTCTCTTGATTTTTCCCACTCATAGAAAAATATGTATTTGTATACCCAGAAAAAAAAAATCAGTAATTGATGTATGCTTACATCATTGCAAACATTTATGTACAATAGACTAAAGCCGGAATCTCTTCTTTGGACGTGCACAAGTTTACAACAGTGGTTTGTGACTGACCTGATTATTTGTTGCATACTTTTAGTAGAAACAAGCCCAATTTTCTTTGGAGTTGGTCCTCTGCTCCATTTGTCAATATACAAGAGCCATAAGTTAAAGCTAGTTACAGAACACAGAAAAAGATTCAAGAAGGGCCATCTTGATTTTTTTTAAAAGGGTTGTGAAACAGATCACCAGTACAGATGTCAACAGTATATGGCAGAAGTAGATAGATGACCTCAGTTATGAATCTGAATGGCCTTGTAGTTCTTTTAGATGTTTAGACTTCCCATAATACTTCACATGAGTTTCCACATAAGTTAATATCTTGGTTATTAGATACCGGACATCAGGATCACTCTGGTCATTTTCTTTGATATTATATAAGTGCTGTAGCCCATTCTCTTCTATTAACATTGCACAGTATTTGGCAGCTAAGGAGAAATAAGACTGTTAGTTAACATCTTCAACATAAACATGACAGTGGTAAAATATGAGGGTATGTCAGAAACACTGCATGCTGCAACATAATCAACTTTGTTTTCAATATCACTAAAACTGCAAGTCATGTTGATTTACAATTCCAGTCAAGGTTTAGATATAAGGCAAATACACTTCAGTGATTTGGAAATATCTGTCAGATTCACATATGTCTTTCCTCCATTGCTCTAATTCTTCATTTGTATGTAAGCTGCCCAACTTCAAAATCATTCTGGGCAGCTTCACAAAGTTCAAAGAAAAAACATTCTATTTAAAAAAGAACCTATTCAATCTCCGGGGTGGTGGGCATATGTATATTTCTATATCAACTCCTCAGTTAAAAGGACAATCAACACCTTGAAATACAACCAGAAGCTGATTGGCAACCAGTATAACTCAGGTAGCAGGATTGTTAAATTTGACATTATTGTAATTACAAATTGATGCAACAGTTCCACCTTCAGTTTAAAAAGTTAAACACCAAGCTTTGAAAAATGGAAGTTTTAAGGCTTAATGAAGGATACCTACGGGTTTTGCAGCAGACATGCAGAATAGCCCACGCAGCCCAGATCTGTACTCCAGGTAATGTAAAGCAGTCAAGCAATGGGTAAAATGGCTTGAGGGACCTGAGAATTAAAGAGTATTTTGCAAATTTATCAGTCATAAAAAATAAATGTAAACAGATATTATTAATTGATTTTGTGCTATCAGGCACTTGTATCCTGGTAAGTTCTTAAATCGTGAAATCAATGAAGCCACAATACAACAATCTTTTGCATTTCTAAGGTATTTTGTGATTACCTATCAGTGCAGTATGTTGATGGAGGCAGTCTGGGCTTCTACGATCCTGAATTAGTACAGTTAATGGCAGGATCTGCATAAATGCTTCACCCATTAAATCAGCTATATGAAGAATATAAAATATTGAGCAGGTGTTGTAATATTAATGGAGGAAAAAGGAATAAAAAGCTCAACAGGTGGTTCTTCCTCTGCACCATAGGGAGCCCAAGGAGAGAGAATCTTAAAAAATGGCTCATATCAGCATCCACTTACTTCTCTTTTATCACACCCTATATTTCTGAAATTGTATATAAGTATTGCACTGCTACCCAAATTAGTAGGACATAATGCTAATCTGAGTTTACCAACCAACTAGCTTCTAAGAAGAAATCTTGCTTGATATTAAAGATGTCACAGAAAGCAGAGGAAGAGGAAGCACCTGTACTAAGGAGTTAAGGGCACTCAAATTTGCAGGCTTATTTCTAATGAGTTGAACATGAGCAATAATCTCCAGCACTTTGACTGCACTTGGCTTTATAGATGTACACAAATGTGACCTTTAATTTGATCTAGTAAAATTCTAGAATCTATGTTGTTCATGAGACGCAGATCAATAAATACACAAGTGAATTAAAGCTTTCTGTTTTACATCTTGTTCTCAGTGTATTTGATGTTCATTGTTTTAATGATGTTTAATTAACAGAATATTTTTAATATTCATGTGGGTGGGAAGTTTGCATATGCCAAGAAAGGAATCCACCGGCACGCGAGCAGACAGCGTACAAGGATGCAAGCAGTAAGTACAGAATTGTTGTTCAAGATTTAACATTGTACCTATAAGCTGGCAGTGCCACCATCTTGCATTCTGGTGTTGGCCACTTCAAAAGGGTTGAATGCTGTTAACAGAGAATACAAGTTTAAATACTTCAGGCAACCTTTAAAATGCTCAAGAGAGTTACAGTACTGAATTCACTATACCAGCTTTTCAATAAGGGATCTTCTCAGCTTTTGACTCAATGTCCAGGCTTCTTCACCTCTGGATATCAAATTGGCCATAATCCCAGCTGCAAAATAGCTGACTTCTATCTCAGCACTGTTCAGAAGTTCACTGACATGATCCACGAAGTCCTTCTGCATTAGCCTGGGATGCAGCTCTCTCACCTCCGCCACATTGTTCTTATTAGGATAGAGGAAAAAAACACAACTTTGAAAACAAGATTTTGAAATCGAATGCTAGCATTTGATAATTTACTTATATAGGTAGTCCTTGTTTAGTGACCCCCAACTCAGACATTAAGCAAAGTGGACACTAAGCAAAACCCTGACTGTGCTTAGGATCTTACCTCAGCTTTCATTTGTTTTACAGACCTGCAAAGGTCATAAATGTGAGGATGGGTTGCAAAGTCACTTTTTCCTCACTGCCACAACTGTTGCTGTATGAGGCAGATGAGGACTACTTGCATTTTTATGAAATTATTTTTTGTATGCCGCACCTGATTTTGATCTTACCAGGAGGCCAAGAGCTTTGTGTTGTATAGATGAATCAGAAGAAAAAATCTGTAAAGAAAAAAAAACAACTAAATGCATATTGTGTTCTATCTATCATCTCATGTAGTGTCCTATCAGAGCTGCCTTGTTTACCTCTAAAACTCTCAAGAAAAGATCCAGTCCTTTGTGGTCCATAAAGTGTGCACACATAGTTGGAGCTTCATCTGTGAGATTCCAAAGCGCACGAAGTGTAAAATGGAAAGTCACATCTAATTCAGTCTGATTTGTTTTTTGTTCAATTATTTCAAGCAGTTTCTATAAAGGAAAAGGATAGCACTACAAATAGTATAATATAAAAATATGGAAAGTACAAATCCCTTGTCCTTTGAACCATTATACACGGGAGACATAGAGGACTCACCCCAACAACAATGTAGAATTCTGCAGAAAGTTGTGCTGCTTGCTCATCTGAAAGCTAAAAACAAAGCAGACTTTTAAAGTAATACCCTGGAGAGCTAATGAAAATACTGGATTAAAAAATAAAGCCACATACCTTAAGTCCCAGGATAGAGATTACATTAACTGCAATTCTTTGTACATGTTGATTCTCCTGATTACAAAGCCACTGAACCACAAATTTGGCAGCCACAAACCTACAATTTAAAAATATTTTATTTTTTCATCACATCCAACAATTTTTAAGCAACTACTTATCTACAAAAAAAAATGGTTTTCTATTATATTTAGAAGTGCAACGCTCTTTTGGTATTATTGTTTGAGGTGGGATGTCTTACAAATCTAGTTAATAAAATACTAAATTTTAATATACACACCATATTTTCTAAGAATTATGTATAACCCCAGAATATGATATGCAAAACACTTTGTTCTGATAGGTATTTTATTTAAACTGAGCTGAATTAGGTTCAAAATAGGCTTTAAATTTTTTATCTTAAGAAGACATTGCTAAATAGGCATACCTAATATGTTCTACTAAGAATTAACTTTAGAGGTTCAGTTCAAAGCAATGATCTAATCCCTGAATCAGACAGTTGATTTGGACTTAATTAGCAAATTGAACACTTGTAAATCAATCTAACAATTCCATAGCCTTTTACTCATTTTTTTTTTCAGAACAAATTGAATTAATGATCTGGTGCACACAAGTTTTACTATTTATAGATGCCAATAATTATAATGCATGCATAGAAAATTTAACCCCTGAACAACAGTTCCTCTATCAAATCTATGCTAAGGGACTTTTAAAATTTTGTCCAGAATGAACCATTATAGAAAAAATTCATCAGTAATGCTTTACTGATACAGTATTTGTTTCAATCTGCTATCTATGGCCTAATACGGGAGATCTGATTATAAATACAATGTTTATACAAAGTATAAATAGCTTTTCTATGTGGCACTTCAAGTGTATGGAAATTAGGCCTCGTAAATACAACAACCACTTAATCCAGATTTTTAGTATTCCAATGATACATATTCAGAAGACCAAGTTTTGGGGAGATGTCTCACAAAGTTCCACAAAACACAGTTTTAGTTTATTGGCATCACATCTAAATTGAATTTAAATTGAAATGGAATGAGCATTAGAACAGAGAATCTACTCAACATTGTCAGTCTTTTCATTACAAAAAGAGATTAATAAACAATGAACATACGTGCTTGAAAAAGCAGAGATCTGAATTTTAATTTGGTGATGGGATGTACAGTATGTAAGAAGATAGCTTAATGTTATTGCATAAAAAGGAAAACCTCTTTCATCCAGATTAAGGCTTCACTTTCAGTTGACTGTTTGTACTGTGAAACATTCAAAGAAGAATGTCACTCGCCTATTAAATGGAACATCTTGGAGAATCCTGACACTAGATAATGAAAGAAGGCAATTCTTCTGGAGCTGTGTGGAAAGAAGAAAAAAAGAGAGTTCAATATTATGAAAATGTGATATTCAGAACTTGAATTATTAATTGTTCATAAAATGGTCAATTAAGACGTGTATGCTTTTAGTGCTTTGAATCTTAAAGGAAAGGGAATTACTAAATAAAATAACTTAATGCTTTTGAATAGCATATCAAACAACTTCTACAACTGGGAGTGTGTAAATCCAGCTCGGCAGAAGCAACGAGTAGGCCACAGAATCCAATGCGGCATACTGATGAATGAAAAGCACAAGCAAAAGCTTTGCATTGCAGATCGATGTAAGTGAAAAAAATCCAATGTATGTCCGCTGTGTCTGGCAATGAAACAGGACCTCCAGGGGTCTGTTTTTCCTCTCAGTAAAGTAATTCAAAATCATCTGCACCAAGCACATAGTAGGAGTGATTTGTGCAAACTTGTGTGTGTGTGTTTGTACAGGATATCCTACTCTATATCCTTACCTGCCGTTGTTCAGGAAATGTTTCCAT